TCGATGCATCGGATCGTCGGCTGTTGGATCGATGCATCGATACAAAACGATTATTATTTACACCCCTAGCAAAAAGCAATAAAATATTTACAAAAGTATGATGGGGTACTCATTTATGAGAGATACTTTATGTGCAAAATAGAATTCATTCATTCAGTCAGTCATGATTCCACATTCTTTGCCCCCAAAAACCTTTCCTGACTCTAAACTGAGTAAATCTTAAGCAGCTGACTAACCTAAAGAGTTCACTCAAACGAAGGAAGTAGAGAAAATCACCACAGTCCTACTAGATCTCAAAGAACACACCTTAAAATACTATAAATCTACACTGCAAAAACCATCGAGAAAGAAGTACAACATTTCTTAAAATAAGTGCATTTACCCTTAATTTTAGTAGGTAAATAAGACGATTTGCCGATGGAATCAGTATTTCTACTCCTAAAATAAGACAATTAGATAATATTCACTTGAAATAAGACAATGCAATTTTTTTTTTCTTATTTTAAATGTAAATTGTCTTGTTCCATTGGCAAGGTGTCTTACTTATCTCCTCAATTCAAGACAAAATTTACTCAATTTAAGCAAAAAAACTCATACAGATTTTCATTTTTTGCAGTGTATAAATTGGTTTAATACCAACATATATAACAGACTTACTGCCCACACTGGAAAAAAATCGAAATCTAGATAAGTTGTTTTTTCTTAAAATAAGTGTATTTGTTCTTCGATTTCGTAGGTAAAAGAGAGATTTGCCAATGGAACAAGACAATTTACACTTACAATAAGAAAACACAATTGCATTGTCTTATTTCAGGTGCATTTTATCTAATTTTCTTATTTTAAGAGCAAAAATACTCATTCCATTGGCAAACTATCTCATTTATCTACTTAAATTAAGATTAAATGCACCTAATTTAAGACATTTCTACTTATTTTTAGATCCTTTTTCCAGTGCAGACCTCTTACACTGCAAAAAAAGATATCTAAATAAGTGCATTTTTTCTTGAAATGAGGAGGTAAGTGAGACACTTTGCCAATGGAACGAGACAATTTACATTTAAAATAAGAAAAAACAACTGCATTGTCTTATTTCAAGAGCATTTTATCTAATTATCTTACTTTAAGAGTAAAAGTACTCATTCCATTGGCAAATCATCTTATTTACCTACTCAAATTAAGATTAAATGCACTTAATTGAAGACATTTTTGCTCATTTCTAGATCGTTTTTGCAGTGTAGAGATTATGGCTCAAATCGACTCTACGTACCCAGAACCAGAACCAGAACCAAACACAGAGAAGCAGCATTTAGTTCTTATGCTCCACTAATCTGGAATAAATTCCCAGAAAACTGCTTGCATCAGCGTGCCCCACACTGCAAAAAATTTAAATCGCAATAAGTAATTTTGTCACAAGTCATCAAGTGCATAACATCTAATTATCCTAATTTAAGAGTAGAAATACTCATTCCATTGGAAAATCATCTTTTTTGCCTACTCAAGGATAAATACACTTAATTTAAGAAATGTTATTTATTTCTGTAACGCCTCAGAGTCCTCTGACTTCAGCAGTAGTAATAAGTTCAACCAGAAAAGGTAGAATTCTTTAGATAGCTTTAAATAAAGGTTAAAAATCAATTTTTCAGAGTTATATTCATAATGAAACATTAGTACTTTATGCCTGCAGTCCAGTTTTCCCTGAATCTGTTTCTGTAACGCCGCTGCAATCGATCGTCCTGTTTTCTTCTATCCTGTTTTATTTGCAATAGAAATTTTAAATATTTTTGTTTACTGAAATGTGATTTACTCCCTTTGCATTAAATATTTATACATTTGGATAAGGATGCATGTTAGTGCAATTTTGGGCAATATCTTATATGCAGATATTTAAACTATATAATAATTTTACTGGGTAACTGATATTCCTTCCCCCCTCCTACTTACAGACACCTCCTAGTTTTCTACCTCCTGTCCTCTGCAGTCATTGCAAATAATGATTTAGCTATTTATGGAACCTAAAAAAACTTCCCTGAACCAACATTTTTACCGTCGTTCCTGTGGGACTCATGCATCGGTTAGTTGCGCATGAACCTGCACGCGCTGCAGGCATAATCCCCACATTTTCACAGATATCAGGCGGTTAAATGGCCAATGTCTGATAATTAGGTTAAAAGTCAGACATTTTGATACGTTTTCGGAAAACTACTCATAACTAATAATAGATTTAGTCATTCAGATTCAGGACAGTAAAATGGGATTTCTTATCTCCCTGTAATGGCTGCATATGCAGCCAACAGATCTGGTAACGGTATTATAAACATCATTCGGTTTGTTTTCATCTAAATATTATTTACAGAACCACTTTAATATTTGGAAATCGTTTATGACCATTAGACGATATTCCAAAATGTCCGTTTTAGTCACGATTCTGTGTCATTTCTATTCTGAATTCTTGCAGTAGTTTTAGTCCAGCATGTTTCACCCCTTGTGTTTCTTTTGTGGTCTGATCAGCTTTAACTTCTCCGTGTCTCGTTATGGTCGATCAGTTTGCTAGTTATTCTGACTAGTTTTATTAGGCAAGGCAAGGCAAGGCAANCGAGAATACCTTTGTTCAACCTGAAATGACTCATTTAATCATCCAAAACGTTATGGAACACATTAATTAACTGAAAAATGTTGCATAGTGTGTCTTTAATCCTTAACGTAAGGTTTACGCTTTCTCACCAGTATCATCAGTTCATGTAACCGGTACTGTACTACAGAAATATTAGAGGGAAACTGAAACATATCCAGC